ATTTAAAGATTATGTCCATTTGTACACAGAGGACAATAAAAAAGAGTATCCCATATTGATTTCATCTGTAACACCCGGTACCAAGTTTGACCTGATGAAAACAAATTCAATTTTAAAATCTTGCTCAGGTTTACTTTTTGTAAAAGCCATCGGCAATTTTCTAATTAAAGCTCTCTTTAGTAATAAGAAAGATGCCAATGCCTTCATACTTTCGAAGAGCTTACTACAAAATCAGCAGTGGCAAGCAAAGATCCCATATGACCACCTGGAGAGCTTGGGTGTAATAAAAGTGCCTACTGAGTTGTCAGAGGAAGATTTATTGACCAATTTGAAGTCCAGCAGTGAAGTAATAGGAGTAAAACGCTTCATGAGAAAAAACAGTGATGGCTCCTTCTCTCCAACTCCAACTGTTTTAGTTACATTCTTGAGCTCAATACGACCAGATCATCTTACATATGATCATATTTGGTTTGATGTGAAGGAATATATTAGACCAATCAAACAATGTTTCGTCTGTTACAAATTTGGACATGGTCGTGGTTCTTGCAAGAGTCCACAGGTCTGCTCTATCTGCTCAGGCAATCACTTTTTTAAGGACTGCAACAACAAAGAAAATACTAAATGTAGTAACTGTTCCGGACCTCATATGGCAGTAAGCAATTTATGTCCAGTTAAAAGTGCCAAAAACCAAGAGTTGAAGGACAAAATTAGTGGGAAGATAACATATGCAAAGGTCGCTGGAAAGGTAAAGTCTACCTATAGAGAAGATCCAGGTTCAACATCGGACCCTCTAGCTTCACCACCAAGACTCAAGAATTTAAAATTATTGAATGTTCCCCAAAAAAGAGTATTATATACAGATATAATTAATTCAGATGAAGTGTTAAATGTTCTTACTAAAACTCTTGTTGATTTAAAACTAAAGCAAAACGGAGATGCTATTTCTTCAAAAGTCATAAAAGAGTTGCTTATTACAAACTTTTCAGCATAACTTTTATGGATAATAATTCTAGAATTGGATACCTTAATATCATTCACTGGAACTGCCGTAGCATTGGACCAAAACTGAATCAGTTTAACTATTTCATTACTTCACAAACAGCTGATATTGATATAATTTTACTTAATGAGACTTGGTTGAATTCATCCAAGTCATTTAAGTTACCTGGATTCAAGGTTATACGTCGTGATTCTGATTGCGCCCATGGAGGTGTGGCACTGGCTATAAAAGATAAATATATTTATAAATTAATTAACACTCCATCCAACTATCACTTTCAAAACTTATTGGTCTCTGTAAAAGTTGGCTCTATTTATGTTGATATTCTTTCTGTATATATACCTCCTCCTCCTAATGGGAGATTTAAATTAAATATGCTTTCACATTCTTTTACTTGCATAAAGAATAGGAATTATTTGATCATCGGAGATTTCAATGCTCACCAAACGGCTTGGGGCTCCAGATTTAATGATAGAAGAGGTAATATAATTTATAATTTTGCAGATGAACATAACCTAGTTTGCCTGAATGACTACACTATTACCACTGTTGCTCCGTATGGTCAGAATGGTAATGTATTAGACTTGGCTTTCGCATCATCTACGGTGAGTTCTAGTTGTTCTTTTTCTGTGCATGATGATCCTTTGAGCAGCAACCACTTTCCTGTTTTCATAACTGTTTTATATAATGTTTCTTTAAATATTGATAACGAAGCCTTGTCGGCAAGTAATACCACTCCTTTGTCTGATAACATAGGATTGTCGGGTATGAACTTCCATAAAATAGACTGGTCAAAGTTTTCCCGGCTCTGCGATGATAGTTTTTCCACTTTTTCTTTAGATTTTGACCCCCTAAATAGTTATAATTCATTTACTAAAACGTTAAGTAACGTGTTGTTGACATTTTCTAAGAAGAATGATTGTTGCCATACCAAAAATATCAAACGCAAGGCTATTATTTGGTGGAATGACAAATGTTCTAAAGCTGTTAATGAATCTAAACTTGCCTTAAAATCTTATAGAAAGTACCCCACTTTGGAAAATTACATTCTCTATAAAAGATTTGACGCTAAAAAGAAAAGAATATTATCGGAACAAAAACTTTTAAGTTGGGCCAATCTATGTAACTCTTTTAACAGAAAAACACCTGTAAAGCTAATATGGGATTACGTAAAGAGATTTAAGTTTGCCAAGTTAGGCTTTAGCGCGAAAACACGTTTTTTCGACAATTCTTCAAATGCTTCTGCTTATTTAGATAAATTAGGGTCCCAAGTTTGTGGAACCGTCCCTAACAATTTAGATTCATTATTTTTGTCTGTAGGTTCTGAATCTGCTAAATGGATTCGTGATCCTTTTGAATTTTTTGAGTTACAAGCGTCTCTAGATAAGAAAAAGGACACCTCACCTGGTCCTGATTATATCCCCTATTCTGTTATTAAAAATCTACCTAAAAATGTTAAACTTATTCTTTTAAATATTTATAATCAATTGTGGTCACATAATAAGATTCCTCCAATCTGGAAAAGGCAGTTTGTTGTTCCCATTCTAAAACCTAACAAGGATTGTAATAGTTTAGATGCATATAGGCCTATTTCATTAACTTCATGTTTTGCTAAACTATTTGAAACTATGTTAAAGAACCGCTTAGAATGGTTCATTGAACACAATTCACTTATTCCAGATTATCAATTTGGGTTTCGTAAAGGTAAAAGTACTATGTATAACTTAGGTTGCTTATTGGGTGATATTCAAAATAACCTTAATAAAAATAAAATTACTCTAGCTGTTTTTTTAGACTTAAAAGGTGCTTTTGATAACATTAAACATGAGTATTTAATTGAAAGCTTACAAACTCTTGGTATTCCTGGATCTGTTTTATCATGGATATTCAATTTTCTGAATGGTCGTACAATATCTCTTAAGGTTAGTAATAAATTGTATGGTTCAAGAACTTCTTTTAAAGGTACGCCACAGGGTTCAGTAATTTCTCCTCTTATTTTTATCCTATGTCTTGTGAATTTTATGAAGCATATTCCAGGCTCTATAAAATATTCTTTTTATGCGGATGATCTTGTACTATATTTAGATTGTGATGATCTTTCACTAGGAGAACGTATTATGAATAGTTGTCTTGCTTATTTAAGTAATTACCTTATTGATCGCCTTGAGCTTGATGTAAATGTACAAAAAAGTTCAGTTATGGTCTTTGCGTATAGTTGTCCAGTTAGTCCTCGATTATTTTATAATAATGCTTTAATTCCCTTTAAGACAACTGAAATGTATTTAGGTGTTATGCTTGATTCAGAATTGTCTTGGGGTCCTCATATTAATTATATAAGTAAAAAAGCAGAGTTGCGTCTAAACATCTTGAGATCTTTAGTTGGGGTAAGTTGGGGTTCTGATCCAAAAATCTTAAAAAATTTATATATTTCTTTGGTTCGTAGCCAATTTGACTACGGATGTATGTTTTATGCTGAAGCATCTAAACAGTTGCTTCGTAAACTAGACATTTTACAAAATAAAGCTTTACGCGTTATCACTGGGGCCATGATGTCGTCCCCTATAAATTCTTTAGAAGTTGAATCTGGAGTGCCGCCTTTATTCATTAGAAGAAGCTATTTAACCGAAAAGTTTTGTTTAAATTTAGTTAGTCATGATAACGTTATAGTCTGTCGTTACTTGCAAGACTATGATATTCCAGATTTTAATAGTATTCCCTTGCCAGCTTCTCCTAATATAAGTGAAGCTATTTCATATTTAAACTTTAAATTCCAGGATGTCGTGCACTGGGTGAATTTAACCGCTTGTTTTACATATTGTTTTCAGTCAATGCTACGTGACATTACGGTCACTTTAACTCGCTTTGTCTCTAAGCAACATTTTTATGAATTTTTGAATGAGAAAAACGATTACGTAAAAATTTACACGGATGGTTCTAAAACCAATGATCGTACTAGTTTCGCTTTTTACGATTCATGTAATAAATACGGTAAAGTGTTTTCTTGTAATAATAACTTTTCAATCTTTTCTGCTGAAATTCTTGGTATGATTTATGCTGTAAAATATATTATGTGTAATTTTGAGTCATCAAACTTTACCAAATTCTTAATAATATGTGACTCAATGAGTGCATTACAAGCCTTGGAGCAAAAATGTATTAGTAGTCAGTGTAATTATTTATTATATGAATTGAGACACCTTGTTTACATACTTCATAGAAGTAATCTTTTAGTTGAATTTTGTTGGGTTCCCGGACATTCGGGCATTTTCGGTAACGAGCTTGTTGACAAACTCGCACGATATACTCCGAATATTTCTACTATCGAGGACTACAAGGTGCCTCATTCTGACTTAGTTACTTGTTTAAAACACAATGTGATTCAACGATGGTCATTAGATGTAAGTATTTCACGGCTAGAGAAAGGCAGGTGGCATGCTGAAATTGTCCCTGTGCCCAGTATAAAAGCTTGGTTTGAAAAACCACCTTTTATAAGTAGAAATTTTATAACTAGTTTATGTAGATTAAGAATAGGTCACTGTAAATTTCCATGTCATCTTTATCGCCTTAAACTGAGCGTTAACTCAATTTGTAAATATTGTAAACATCCAAACTGTGATCTTCAACATTTATTCTTTGATTGCAAGTATTTTAATATTCAACGACTTCTTTTTATATGCTCTTGTAAAGATTTGATAGAGATAAATGATTTCCCTCAAAATGTTAAACATTTGTTAAGATTTAGAGAACTGTATAGCATTATTTATGATTTTATCATTAATACATTTGGTCCCTTGTGATTGTTATGAATATGTTTAAAATTCTGTTTCTTTAAGTTTTATTTTATATTAAGTTATTATTAAGTAATTAGTTGATTATGTTAGATTTCCCTGTTTTATTTTTGTTAATTCCTGTTATTCATATCTTATTTTCACTAAGCAAGTTGTTTATGTTTAAGCTAGTGGCCCTGGAAGCCAATGTAAATTTAAATAAAATTAAAAAAAAAAAATATAATATAAAACTATAACGTTAGTATCCCCTCTAAATATAAATATTTTTTTTTTCTCTACCGATTAAATTACCTACACTTTATATAATTTTAACCTGTGTTGTCCTTGCGTGTGTTATGCTTTCAGAAGAACAATAATAAAAGCTCAAGGAAGAAGGGTTATTCGGATAAAATATAAAATTTTTACTTGTTAAATACCGAGCAATCTCTCTCTTACCGTGTCTCTCTCACTACGGAATATTGGCGAAATTTCTGTGTAAAACGGAAACAGCCACAGAAAAAAAAAAAACATTGTTATTTATAGTTTGAAGATATGTAGTGTATCAAAAATGTTTATATTTTGAACGAGGACTCGGTATTTTGCATAATCAATATCATGTAAAACCTTAAACTGAATGTAATTTTAGTGAGATCATCGAACTCTCATAACTGCGGTTGTAAGTAAAAGAACCCAGTAAAAATATTTTCTTAGAAAAATGATTGCAACCTGAAGGTGCAGTGTGTGCTGTAGTGCTGTACTCACGAAGGATGGCACTACATTAATGATGTTTTGTAAATTATCTATAAGTTATGAGGACAACTTTTGAACAGAATCTTTCATTTTCAGGTTGTCTGAGAATAGTTATTATTTCATAAGGTTCGGTGTTGAATATGGATCAAATGCAAATATCGCAGTCTATCCCACATATTGTGCAGGTTTATCAGCCACCCACTTCTGATGCGAAGATGGCTAATTCACAAATAATTCATTTATCTCATCCACCTCTACAGCCATCTGAGGGAAAAGTTAATTATCAACAAACTGTGACTTCTAAATCTATTCAGATACCAGTTACACATGTTACAGAAATTTCTGGCCAGCCTATTCATATGTCTCAGAATCAGATTGTCATATCTTGTCAGCAGACACACTTACAAAATATTCATCCGCCAATGCAATCCCAAATGGCACAACAAGTTCTGCAGAGTTCTGACATGAGTCAGTCTTTGCATGTAATTCTGCCTCAGGTACCAATATTCAAGCAACATGTGCTTGTAAGTGAAGTACAACAGCAGTATTATGGGCAGTATGAATCCTTTGATAAGGAACACTGCATTGTTGCTAAAATGGAGCCCGAGTTGCCAATCTCATCTGAGAAACAAGCAGAGTAAGTGTCAAGTAAAAGTTTTGAAAGATTTATAATATATTCTTAAATAGGAAAATGAAAATTATTTAAAAAATAATTAGCAATCTCCACTAGAATTTGAATTTGGATACTATTGTTTTTTCCAGCTTTACACTTTATTATTCTATGTTCACATGATATAGTCACCACCAAAGAAAGGCTACAATAGCACAGTTTGTTAGAGCTTTGTTCATGTTAACTATTATAAATGCAATCTCAGTGTGGATGCAATTATAATTCTCAGTGCTCCGCAATGATAAGCCTTTATTGATAAATATATAATTTGTGACTATGTCTAATGTGTTGCATGATTCATTTCAGGTCTAAACCAGAGGCTTCCATTATGAAAGCAGATAGGATTGTAAATGAAGCAGTAGTTTATAAGAAACGCAACAGAAGTGTTAAACCAAATCCTGGCTCCTGGGCCTGCAATGTTCGTAAATTCAAACACCAGAGAGGGGAGGCATATATAAGTAGAAGAGGAAAGTTTGTCCCAGAAAGACGAGTACGAAATACTAAAGACTGCCTGAAGTCTTGTAAATACAGATGTAGTGAGAGAATAAGTGATACAGACCGGGAGCACATATTCAAAGCTTTTTACTCCTTGAATGCAAATGAAAAGAAGCATTTTTTACTAAATACCACAGAAAGGAATGATGTTAAGCATAAGTCACCTGATGAAAATCACAAAAGGAGACATGCATTTAAGTATTTCTTTCTTGTTAGAGCTGTTAGACATACAGTTTGTAAGAATTTTTATTTAGGTACACTAGCTATATCGCAGAAGCCGGTATACAATGTCCACTTAGGAAAGTCAGAAATGAATATTCCCAAACCTGATGGTAGGGGGTTGTCAGAAGCCAGCACACACTCTCTGCCATCAGAAGTAAAGGATGGTGTCAGAAAACATATAATGTCTTTCAGTACAGAAGACTCAAAACCTGTAAAAAGATTTTCAAAGAAAAAACAGTATTTAGAGTCAAATTTAAGTATTAAACAAATGTACAATATGTATTTAAATGACTCTAATAAAGACAATGTTTTGCCTGTAAAAGAATCTATGTATAGAAAAATATTTAAACAAGAATTCAATTTGCACTTTAGGAAAGTTAAACCAGAGCTACAGCTGTGTTGTAAATGTAAGGGAGTAATTAAAAAGAAATAGTTTGTAATGTGAAATAGATAAGTTTATACCAATGTTTGTCATAATCATGATAATGTTTGCCATGCCATTATGCTGCTATATTACTGTGATGCATGCTGTACACATGCACATTTAGTGTGCTAAGGGTTTATTCATAGATAAAATGGGGGTTCTCCATGCATGGGTTAATACAAAATTCTTTAGCAGTTTATTCAGTTAAGATTGTTACAAGCTCTTATGAATGTCACTACTCCATCAGTTCGCAAATCTATAGTGGGAGACCTTGTACTGAAAAGACCAGCAAGAAAGTCAGCAAGGGTTGTTTTGCTGCCTTATAATGATAAATATGTATGTATATTGAAGTTTGTGAAAATGACAATGAATACATCTTCATAAATAATGAATTTAAGGTTGCCTGATAATGATCTGCAGATGATGTATAAAAACAAAATGTGTAGGTACCTATATAAGGTAATTTGTTACAATAAAAGAAGTGCTTTCGTTTTCGGCGCTGTCATACGGTTTTTGCCTAATTTAAATAAAAAAAAATGAGTGTGCTTATGACCATGACCACACAACTGAAGTGAAACTTCTTTAGCTCCAATGATCTGAAAATCATCATCATTATCACCCATCATTCCGCGCTGGGTCCGTTATCACCCTCGCAATCCGCACTGGGTCCATTATCACCCACCAATCCGCGCTGGGTCCCTTATCACCCACCAATCCGTACTGGGTCCGTTATCACCCACCAATCCGCGCTGGGTCCGCTATTATCCACCAATCCGCGCTGGGTCCGCTATCATCCACCAATCCGCACTGGGTCCGTTATCACCCACCAAGCACTAGATTCATGTATTATGTGACGGGTATACCGATGAGTCAGCGATGACACTAATCGTAACGCCAAAATCCTAACACATTCGCCAGTTTACCCTCCCAAGACAAGCGTACCTAAAGAAGTTTCACTTCAAAAATCTCTCTATCATCTCTGAAATAAACTTCATTTGCTCCGACTTTACGCTGCTTACTTATGACTAGCAGCTGTGACCAGTAACTTGCATTTTAAGTTGGTTGCAATTGTTTTGAATTTTGGCTGCCGGCAGTATCCCATCCGCTGGTTCCCAGTGGTGATAAAAATATATGGCGAGCCGCGCCGGCAGCGGATGCATTTATAAGAAATCAGATGTGGCAGGTTATGAATAAGGATGAATCCATGATGCCACAGCCTAGTGTATTTTTTGTACTTTTTTTAAATTAATATTTCTGTGAGAAATAAAGAACATGTAATTATTTTATCTCGTAGATTTATTTTAAGTGCCATTGCCATGTTTGTTTAGAGTGTTACTACACCATATTAGGTGGGAATTATTTTCAGAGCAGCATACGGCAGGCCGCATAAAAATTAAGTTGTGGCGTCTCTAGCCAATGTAAAGTTTTAGCGCCCATATGCCATAGAGAATGTACGCCGTATGCTGTGTGCAATAAAGAATGGTGGCGACGTCGACCTGACGCAGACATACTAGACTTATGTCTCTTCCACTCCTTTTCATACAAAACTTAAAGAAGCTGCGCATCGCAACTATAAAGCAAGAGAAAGGGCGCGGAAATAACGCTTCTCATTTCGTATGAAACTGACAAAGTCCTTGCATCGCCAGAAACTTACCTACGTTTTTTCTGTTTCCCGCGCCTGAGATAGCTGCGCCCGTGTGCCCGTGTGTGTCTCTAATTAAGGAAACCTTATTCTACTACTTGAAGTAAAATTTAAGCAGCAGCGTTTTTTTTATTTTTTTAATGTAGGTTACCTGTTTTTACTCCTTTAATTAAAGGATGATTTTTAAGATAAAAACTATCCCATGCCTTTCCTTGGGATTCGGAACTATCTCTGTACCTTATTTCAACTAAATCGGCTCAGCAGTTTACGTGTAAAATTGTTAGGGTTTCGTTATTGCACAATTATTGAGTTAACCGTGGAGACCATTTTCGAAAAAAAAAGAAGTATTTTTTTTAAATTAAGGGCCTATGCTGCTTTATAGGTCTCGCAGGCAGACGCGGATTGTGACCGCGATCGAGGTGGGACGGCCAGTTATATTCGCTTGCAATGAAAGCGAATGGTCAAACACGAGCAGTGGCGTACTTACGTAGGGGCTAGGCGGGGCAGTGCCCCGGGGCTCTCAAATCCTTACGAGAAATCTCGATCGAACTGAACTTTTGGAAATTACTCCCATTTTCAAATAAATATGACAGGTTGCAACCCCACCTTAATCATGAAAACTCAATTGAGAGAAATTCAAGTTATGCCTAGGGAATTCCCCTTTTTTTTTTTATAACGCAGGTAAAAAATCTTTTTACAGACGACGGCGCCTTTAAGAGGCACACCGCCGAACGGACCTCACACCTGGCTCCCGCAAGTCTTACGGACCCCCCAGTGGCTACCCACCGAGGACCCCGCAATTCTTACGGGCGCTTTACAGCATAATATCCGCTAAAAAAGTCCTGCGAATACCTCTACACTGCTTAGTGCGGAGCCGCAGGGTCCCCGTTAGGGATTCTACCACGGCTCCGCCCCCAGCAGCTTCCCGGCCTCGCCGGGGCTCCACGGCATGGGTCTCCCGCGGTATTACGGGGACCCCGCAGACGTGCGCAGGTAGGCCCGCGCATGGGGGCTGAGTACGCGGCCTAGTGCCTACCGTACTGCCCCCCGTCCGCTGCGGAGGGCTTCTTGGGCGTTCCCGTCCAAGAAACCCTCCGCCGCCCCCCTTTGTAGGACAGAACTACAAGAGGGGGGGCCGCCGTTCCTGGAAGGGGGGAACGGGAGGGGAAGCGTAGTTCTTCCCGTCACTCTCCCCTCTCCCGGTCACCCACGTCTCCTAGCGTCTTCTCCTAGGAGAAAAAGGGGAAACGCGGGCGACAGCATTCGTGGGGGGTCCGAGCGGCCGAGGCTATTCGGACATCCCCGCCTCTGAGGGTGCCCGTCCGGGCGCCGACGACTCAGAGGCCATTCCTTCGGGGGGTTTACCCTTAGTGACCGGCGGGTCACACTTCCCCCTCCCCATGACATGGTCCGCAGGTCGGCCACTTTCCGCGCATATGGCGCAGCGGGGCTTGGCAGCACATTCCGCCGCCTTATGCTCCGCTTTCCCACACTTAAAGCACAGTGTGCTCCGGTCCTCCTTAGACGGGCACCTTGCCGCCACGTGCCCCCTTCCCATACACCGAAAGCAGTGTGTCCGCCGGCTGAGGACCCTCACGTGTGCTAGGCTCCAGCCCACTTTGATCCTCCCACCCTCCGCCACTTTTCTGGCGGCCCATGCGGGACATCGAACGACCGTCCCCCCCATGCCTCCTGGTCCCGGGCGCACCACTCCTACCGTCACCTCTCGGGTGGTGCTCCACCCCCTTCATGGCCACCGCCTCCCTGACTTCGTCCAAGGTGAGGGACTCATCTAGCCCCGATATCCTCATGTCCGTGCTTATCTCAGGCCTGCCGACTTCGGCGTACTCCTTCACGACCTCGCCCATACGCCTGGCCAGGGCGTCCGCCTTCGTTCTGCTATCTGGGCCCGAGACCAGCAGGAGCCTGGACCCCGTCTGGCTGGTTTTGATGACCAGGCCCTCCTCAATCCCCACGGACGGCAGCTCGACAGCCGCCCGCGCCATCTCCACAATTTTGGTGTGGGTGAGGCCTAGCTCCTCCGCCCTAGGCCTCAACCTCACCTCAACCGCCGCTGTTTTCGGGACCTTTATTTTAGGCCCCTCAGTCTTCCTTGGAGCTGGTCCACCCTTGCTCTGCGTGGGCTCCCCCTTCTTCTTCGCAGGATCGGGGACGGCGGCTGTGCTCCCCGCCTTCCTCCTCCCTCTCCCGACAACCGTACTCCACTGTTCCGCCGGTTCCGCCCTCATCGATGTCCCCGCCTCCCGCCGGTCCGCAGCTAACGGCGGTCTGAGCCTTTTAGGCGGCGGAAGCCTCTCCTCTAAGGAGGCCAGCCGAGTGCTGACCATCTCCCCTATGGAAATCATAAGGGAGCGTTTCAGTTCCTCAACGGCCTCCAGCGGTAGTAATTGTGTGGTTGGAGGGGCCGCAGGGTGGGCTCTCTCCTCCATCGCTCTCCTCAGCGATTCCAGCTCCTTCCGCATGGTCGCCATTTCCGCCTTTATCTTTAAATTCTCCTCTCGGAGTCCGAGATTCACGTCTTCTACCTTTTTTAGCCTATCCGCCGCCTCTACTTTACGCAGGGCCGCCTCCAGGAATTTCTTCGTCTCGCGCGTCATCTGCATTTCGTCACCATCACGTGCTTCACCTCTCGCCTTCCAGTCCAGGTAAGCCAGGCGTGTGAAGATCGCGGACCTGAACTCATCTGCCGTGAAGGTATCTGGCTCCTTGGGAGGAGGAAAAGTGAAGGTGGAAGTCTCCCCTGCCTTGTCCTCCATAGGGGAACCGGGGAAGCTCTGCGCTTACCCTTTCCCCTGCGTACAGTATTCACCTTGGGGGGCATCGGTGTTAGCCCCCCCCCATCCTCCTTGTCCCCGCCGCCTCTCAGTCGCAGGACAACTTCTCCTTCAGACGCCTCGGTAACCAATTTACCACTGCGGGACCCGGTAATCCCGCAGCGCCGGTGGCCAGCCGGGGCGCATAGGCCGCTAGTAGTCAATTTCACACTCTGAGGCCCAGCTACCTCAGAGCGCCCGGTGTCAGCGGGAGAGCATGACAAACAATTCTCAATATCCGACATTACCATAGTTTTTCCCCTCTTCCGGGCGAGGGAACCCTACCTGGCCTCATCAAAATTGATTTTTGAAAAGGTTTTCTCCTTTTGACCCCCACCCCGAAAGGTGGCAGCCCCCGTTCCCTCACCGCGTGCGGAGTTACGGGTCGGCCGGAGGTGGCACGGAGTTCGCGCCACAACCGCCCTCACCAGAACAGGCGTTACCGCCCCTCCAACAGTCTCGACCACCGTTACCCAGGCTCCCCGGGACGCCAGCCGAGACTCACCAAGGTAATTTTTTATAGAGGTTTTCTTCCTCGCAGCCCCCACCCTCCGAAGAAAGCGGCGGCCCTCGGCCCCGCACTACGTACAGGGTTACGAGCTCCTTCAGGCAGCGCACTGCCCTCCGACACCGGGGCCACTCTATGCCCCCCACCCAGGGTGATTTTTTAGAGAGGTTTTCTTCCTCGCAGCCTCCACCCCGAAAGATGGCGGCCCTCGGCCTCGCACTACGTACGGGGTTACGAGATTGCCAGCTATCAGCCTACGCATGAGGTATCCGCAAGGATACCTCATACGTAGTTGCCCAGAGTGCACCGGACCAGCACATTTCCGTTCCCTAGGCCTAAGCCACAGGACAGGATATGCACCGACCACACGGGGAGGTTTCTGGCGAGGCACCCCTAGGGAATTCCCCTAAATTCTTTCTGTAGGTTGGCAGTGTTGTCAATTTATGGATAATGATATGTGCGTTTTATTATTCATCGATGTGCGTTTTATTGTGATTTTTCGAGAACGGTTAAAAAATTAATGCTGTGTCAGGAGTAAGTAAGCTAATGTCAATAAACTTTTTTGTACTGGTCAATATAGTGGTTCAATTTTATTTGATTTTACCACTCATATTGATGTCTGTTAAGTCAATTAATCGTGTCAAATCTATAGATTTCGGCTACAGCTCATTGTATAACGCGAAATATCCTGAAAAATGCAAGTCACCTGCAGTAGGTACATTAATTCAGGTCCGCGGGCAGGAGATCGTTCATGGTTTCCACCGTTAAATGTGGTA